GTTGACCACTTTGAGTCAGTTGATATCACTGGGGTTATTCACATATTCCATATTCTTTCTCATTTTTTTTTTTTTCATTTGATCATTCTGCCAGTTAAAGTGAGAGGGTTAAAATCTCCCATTATGACTGGGAAATTATCTAATTATTCTTTCTGTTTTGTCATTTTTTTGTCAGGTATTTTGAAGTTCTTCATTACATTCTTGCACATTTGGGAGTTTTATGTCCTTTTCACCCATTGACTTTTATTATTAGTAAATGTCTCTCTTTATGTCTGATAATACCTTTTGTTTTCAAATATTTTCTGTGAATTTGCCATACTCCCTTTCTCATGCTCAGTGTCAGGGTGGTGTAGTCTCCGCACACTTTTACTTTTAACTTGTCTATGTCTATCCTTTAAGTGGTCCTCCCCAAACAGTACATTGTTGTGGTTATATTCATTCTGATCTATTAAGTATAGAATGTAAATGTCGTAACACAATAATTAAGTAAATGAGGTGAAGGATGTATTAACTAGTGTGATATAAGCATTCTACATTGTATATAAAATCAGTACATTATACCCCACAAATGCATTAATGTATACATGATCTATGTGTTTATGACTTAATAAAAAAAATAAAATTCATTCTGAAAATTTGTTTTAATCTGTTTCTGCCCCATGTTCCATTATTAGAATGGTAGTGATGTGCGAGTTATTTATAACCTACTGCTCAAGGTCATTGCTGAGGGCTGATTTTTCACACACATCTGCCTCCTAAGGGTAAATGTTATCACTTGGTGCTCAGAGTTCTCACTGCTGCAGAGACTAGTGTGCTGGGAGCTTGTCAAAAAGTTGTGCAAAAAAAGTTAAAAAGTTATCACCCTCCAGCATCAGTGGGTCAGTGTGCTCATCCTGTACACATTTAATGTAGGGATTGAAATGGTTAGATTGCCGTTGGCCATCTTGTGGTTTATGTTCTTTTTGTCTTATCTGTTTTTTGTTTCTCTCTTTTTGTGAGGATTCTTCTTCTTATTTCTTTCAGCTAAAATGTTAATTGCATTTGTTTTCGTGTGATTCTACTGGAAATCCTCTTAGCTTTTGTTCCTGAGTGTGTCTCTACTTTGCCTTCATTTTTGAAGGATAGCTTTGCTCTCTACAAAAATTTATGTCAACGAATATATTTTCTAAGTATTTTAAATACTTAGAAGTATTTTAAATACGCTATTCCATTGTTTTCTGCCCATCACTTTTCATGAATAGGATGCTACAATTATTGTCCCTGCCTTTCCCCCTTAAGTGATACGTTTTTTTTCTTTGTATGTCTTTTTGGAAAAGTTCAGTTTAATGTACAAACAATTAGATTCCATAGTTTGCATCTGTAAGACTAAAGTCCTAGAAGAAGGTATGCCCCACACCCAGGTAGCACGCCCTATGGCTGGGCAAGTTACCCTTTCGGGTGACAATTTACCAGATCCCATCCCCTCACCCCTCCTCCCTGCTGCTTGGGTTTCTGAGTTTTTCTTTCATGTGAGTGTGGAGTGTTAATCTACCAGTTCAGATTTAGTACTGGGTATGTGGGGTTTGCTTTTCCATTCTTATACTGTTTTAAACAAAATGGTCTCCAGTTCCATCCATGTTGCAAAAGATACATAATCTCCATCTTTTTTATGGCTGATATCCCATGGTATAGGTTGACCACAATTTGTTAATCTGTTCCTGTGTTGAAGGGCACTTGGGTAGTTTCCACATCTTTGCAAATGTGAATTACGCTTCTATAAACATTCAAGTGCTAGTGTCTTTATGATAGAATGCCTTTTTTCCCTTTGAGTAAATATCTAGTTATGGGACTGCAGGATCAAATGCTGTGTCTACTTTAGTTCTTTGAGGACTCTGCATCCTGCTTTTCACAGAGGTTCTATGACTTTGCAGTCCGACCAACGGTGTTACTCAAGTTCTGCAACCATGTCAGCATCTGTCGTTTGGGGACTTTACGATGTAAGCTCTTCTCTCTGGGGTTGGGTAATATCTCAAGATGGTTGTGATTTGTGTTTCTCTGATGATTAGAGATGATGAGCATTATTTCATGTGTTTGTTGAACATTAGTCTGTCTTCTTAGGAAATGCTCTTGTTCAAGTTTTGCCCAATTTTTAATAGGATTGTTTGATTCTTTTCTTGTTGATTGTTTGAGTTCTTGGTAGACTCTGGTTATCAGCTCTTTGTTGGATGGGTAGCATGCATGTATTTTCTCTCATTCTGTAAGTTGTCTTTTTGCTTTGTTGATCGTGGCCTTAGCTGTGCAGAAGCTCTAGCTTGATCAGGTCCCATTTATATGATTTTTAACCTTATTGGCCTAGGGAAAGAATTTATGAAGATGGCCTCACTGGTAATCATTGGATTCTTTTAATATATTTCCTAGTATCATTCTTTCTTTTAAAAACATTTTATTTTTAATCATATGGACACATAATAGCTGTACATATATATGTGTGTGTGTGTGTATATATATATATATATTTTTTTTTTTTTTTTTTTTTTTTGGTTGCAGTTGTCATTGTTGTTTAGCAGGCCCAGGCTGGCTCCAACAGCCAGCCTTGGTGTATGTGGCCAGTGCCCTACTCACAGAGCTATAGGCACCGAACCAGGTGATGTTTTGATACTGGCTGCAATGCATAATGATCAAATCAGGGTAATTGGGGTATTCATCACCTCAGGCATTTATCATTTCGTTGTGTTAGGAACTTTACAATTCTACTGTTTTAGTTATTTTAAAATATACACCAAATTTTATTAATTATAGTTGTTTCTTTGCTACCAAATCCTAGATCTCATTTATTCTATTGAACTGTAGTTTTGTACCCATTAACCATCTCATTACCTTTCATTTTAAGCATTTTTAGTGAGATTTTTCTTTCTACTACGGCTCCTTTGTGCTTACTTTGCTTAGGGTTTACTGAGCTTAGATCTGTGGGTTGCTGTTTTTCAGCCTGTTTGGAAAAAATTTTAGTCAACGTTTTTTCAGGTGTTTGCCTTTTACCTCCTCTTCTGTTTTTTTTTTTTCCCCCAGACCCAACTACATATTTGAGATTGCCTGATACTGTCCCACAGGGCGCCTTTTAACCTTTTTCTCTTTTGCCTCATTTGCGGCAGTGTCCTTAGTGGGCTTTTAACATATGGAATCTGCTTTTAAACTTATCCTATGAAGTTTTGATTTCAGAGATTATATTGTTAATTTCTCTGCTCTCCTATTGATTTCTCTTTCTAGTGCCTATTTTTCCCTTGATTTCTGTTACAGTTTTGTTTGTTTTCATGTCCAATGATTTTTGATTGTTTATGGGATCTTGTATTGATACATCACAGAGATTTTAGATTTCATGACTTTTCTCTGAAAGGAGTTGTATTTTTCTTTTAAACCAGGCAGTTTAGTTATTGGTGGATCACCTTAATCAAGAAGAGTCTTGAATTAAAAAGGGTTTCTTTTAATTTTTTTTTTTAAGTGTGAGTGTATTTGGTGAAATTTCTAATGTCTCTTTAACCTTCTAGCTTTGGCTGGGCCCTTGTAGTCTTACCCTGTGCGTGCATAAAGGAGTTGAGATGGATTTCTGCATTGGTTTATGGCAGTGCCCATTGAAAGATTTCTCTCTTAACTCCAAGTTTCTCTGGCAGCCTCCAATTCTGTTTGAGGTCTTTCACTCATGAATTGTCCAAACTGGGGAGTCCTCTCAGGTGAATGGACAGTTAAATTAGTATACTATGTACCATAGCTTCCCTTTCCCAAGGTTTTTTTGTTGTTGTTGAAATTTGGCTGGATCTGGGTTTGAACCTGCCACCTTGGCATATGGGGCCGGCGCCCTACTCCCTGAGCCACAGGCGCCGCTCCCCTTTCCCAAGGTTTTGCCCCTTCTAGTTTCTGCTTTTGGTCACTTCCTAGTGGCTACAAACCGATGTTTTGTTTTCATATTTTGCCCTGTGCTTCTTTATTTAGTATTTATTCTGCTAAATTGTATTTGATTGTTAGATATTTATTACATCCTATTGTCTGACCCAGAGCCTTGTCATTTACATAGCAACTACCTAATAAATCTTGGTTTGCATTTTTTTTTTTGAAAAGTTAGGATTTATGGTCTTCTCAAAAATTCATTTCTACTTTTAGTATGCTACTCTATTAGTTAAAAAGAAATTGTTTTAGGTTAAAATTTAAGTATAATATTCTTTTCCAAATTTTTACTTTTACAATATTTATTTTGAAGATGATTTTTATGTTTTCATACTAATTTTAATTCATTTTAACATTGACATATTATGTGATCTATACAACTGCTAAGGTTACTGCCTACAACTATTATACTTTCAATTAAAGTTGATGTCAAAATATATTATTTTTGTATTATACAAAAGCAAACTTTTCTATGCAAAATAGAACAGAGATAGCTCTTTTTTTATAGAGTACTGATAGTTTCCAAATTCTGTGTAGTGTGGGGTTGAGAAAATATCTTTGAATAATTTTGTTTTAAAAGAGGACTTTTTAATGCTGTTTTAAATTAGATTTTTCACGATCAGTCTATCATGTCAAAATTATATTAACGGAATTTGTGGAGAGGGTCATCTCATTTATCCTTGTTACCAAGTTAAGTATTCTCAATTTGGGGGGAAGTGACTGTAGCCCTAATCTTAATAAGTTAATCTATTTTAAGTGTAATTTATAGTCATTAACATGGTTTAGTAGTAACTATATTTTGTTTTCATACCTGGGGTATATGTAAATGCAAAGAGATATTATAAACTGGTTTCTTATAAATGGAATTTTTAGTTTGTATATAAATTCTGTATTTATTGCAGGTGTCATTTGTAACCATAGTAAACTTATTATGTTAAGCTCAAGAATGGATTATTTTATTTGGACCACAACAAACCATAACTGAATTTGTTCATACTTAATGAATTTTTCTTTGTGATTACTTGAAAGAGGTAAATTGTTCATTGATGCTAAGTAACTTCCTTCCCCCCCCTTTCTTCCTTTAGAATCGAGTTTCTTACTGGGAAATGCCCAGATTGTGGATTGGCCTGTAGTTTACAGTAATGACGGTTTTTGTAAACTCTCTGGATATCACCGAGCTGACGTCATGCAGAAAAGCAGCACTTGCAGGTAGGTACTAGAACTGCTCAGTAGTCCCTTCGGAATGTAACCAAATGCTGCATGTGGTTAAAAGGCTTAGGCTTTCTTGGTCTCACATATAAAAACTATAGGGTTAAAAATTACACTGGAATATTAAGGAGACTATATTATCAATGGAGATATACAGATCACGAGCCATTGGTGAGAACTTTGAGAAGGAGAAAGATTTTTACATATCTGCGAACTAATTAATTCATTCAATAAATATTTTTTGATTACTTACGATGAGCCCAGAACTAGTGCAGATTGCAGGTACATCCTGTATCAGGGAACCACTTTTGGTATTAGCGTCTCTGGAGCAACCAAACCTGTCTTGAACAGGAGTAAACAGCCCCCAGCCAAGTGGCAGTTGTTTCATGAGCATTTGAGGCTCCTCAAGGTAAAGTTCCTTTATCCTCTGCGAGTCACATGTACTGTACAGTGTTGGTACATTGTACCATTGCTATTTTGTTTGACTTACATAAAACAGAATCTGGCTTACTTTATTTATACCAGCTCTTTTTAAGACATGTCATTTCAGTGATTTTGAAGAGAATATTAAGAAAAAAAGGATTCAGAAAAAAGAAAAGGAAACCATATCAGGGACCAATTTAGAATAAAAAACTTTTCTACAATATTTCAGTAAGACCAGATGGGAGGGATGTTTTTGCCTTGAATTATTTTTTTCTCTACAGCTCTTACTCTACTGAGCATTAAACCAAGTTATTTTAGAACTAAAAGGGATCTGATTTTTTTTTTTTACTAGGCCAAATCCTGTTTTTCGGATGAGAAAAACTGAGGTAGAGCCATGTTCAGGGAGGTGCCCAGGGACACACAGTGGTTTATCTTTTTTCTACTTATTATGCTGAGAAGCATCATATATAATTATATACATACGTAGTTGATCCTTGAACAACGTGGATTTGAACTGTCTGGGTCCGCTTATAAGCAGACGTCTTTCAACCTAATGCAGGTAGAAAATGCAGTATTTTAATGGGGCATGTGAAAGCTATATGTAGGGAGGGCTGACTGTTTGTTTGTATGTGGATTCCACTGAGCTGAATAGGGGACTTGAGTGTGTGAAGATACTGGTATATATGGGAGTCTTGGGACCAATCCTCCATGTATACCGAGGGACAACTCTCTTTTTCTTTCTATACTTTCTATACTTGTATATATATATGTATACACACACACATATACATACATATTTTGCATCTTTGTGGAGGGCAGAGATTTCCTGTTATACCATTGAGTCTAAATGTGTCCGGATGTAGGAACCACTTAAACAGGTTTTATAAAGCAAAGATTCTCACACCTCTTAAACCTACTCAATCAGAGTCACTTGAAGTGAGTGGGTGAGGTCAGGAGTCAGTATTTTAACCAATAACTTAGGTCAGTTTTCAACCTTGTTTATCTCACGGCACACTGAAACCCATAATTAAACTTCCGCAGTACACTTAAATTATGTTTGTCCAAAGGAAACAAAAGTGAAAAAGGAATATGCTTTGATCTTCTTTTGAAACTAATTTAATTAATGATCTTTAAAAATTTTTGTGCACACCTAAGATCCTCTCATGGCACACCAGGGTCCTGGGGGCACTGGTTGAAAATCACTGTGGATGAGGCCTGGGTGCAGTGGCTCACACCTGTAATCCCAGCACTTGGGAGACTGAGGCAGGTGAATTGCCTGAGCTCACAACTTCAAGACCTGCCTGAGCCTTAGTGAGACCCTGTTTCTAAAAATAGCTGGGTGTCGTGGTGGGTGCCTGTAGTCCCAGTTACTTGGGAGGCCGAGGCAAGAGAATCGCTTGAGTCCAAGAGTTTGAGGTTGCTGTGAGCTGTGACATCATGGCACTCACCATGTCAGTCTACTAAGGGTGACAAAATGAAACTCCGTCTCAAAAAAAAAAAAAGAAAATCACTGTAGATGATTCTTATGTTTTTCTTGGTTTGAGAAATAATCTAACTTCTTCTTCCTTCCTTTATTTTTCCTTCTGCTGAAGTTATTCCTACATTTAATCTTCATTCCCAGGAATGAAACTGGAAATGGGATTGTTGGAAAATGATGGTCCCTGGTTGGGAAAGTCTCTGTGAGAGCAGGATTTCTGTCTGCCTTTAACCCTGGGTGGTTTGCTGTCACACAGGCAGTGTCACCAGCAGTGTATGCTAAGGACTTGGGAGAGTGATGGTCTATACGAAATATGGCAGCTCCCCTCTGCCCCAGCAGGGGTTAAGTTAGGAAAAGGTTAGTTTTATGGTAGATTTTATCCTGTAAAATTCCAGAACACACAGGTACACTTTACCTACTTTTTATTCTCCCACCTGGAGGTGCGTGTGATTCTCCAAACAAGGAGTGTTTTTCCTTTCTCTGACCCTCAGGGTTGGTTGTGTGTGTTTCTGTGGCATCATCATTTGGCCTTAAGCTGACTGCCTTTATCTGTTGGGATTTTATTCTTACTGCTTTTTCTGTCATTTTTGAGAAGTATTGCTTTTCATATTGGGAATAAATTTTGAAGTTTGGTTCCCATCCCTTTTTATGTACCATGTATCTGCCCTGTCTCTGGCTTGTTTTCTTTGGCAAGTACCATTTCTCGTACCACGGATTCATTAAAAAATGCTGGTATGTGACATTACTGTACTCTCTCCTCTGAAAGCTGCTTTCCCCCTCTCACCACAAGTCCCAGATCGTAAGTGCCTTAAAGGTAGGAATTCTAGTCCCAGGCTGTAAGTGCCTTAAAGGTAGGAATTCTGTTTTGCTGGCTTTTCTGTGTGCTGCAGAGCAGTGTGGTGTTCTGTGCCAGTGCTTGTTGAGTGAGGTTGGCTTATTTTGCAGTAAACCCTAACCCAGGACTCACATGCTTCTTTACAGTGTAGTTGTGTTTGTTGTATTTCGACCCAAGTGGTGCAGCATTTGAGTGTCGTGAGTGAGAATTTTGGATTATGTTAGGCTTTTTTATAGTGAGAAAACTATAAAAAGATGTGGCCAAGTCTTTCTCCAAGTTGTCTTCACTTTTCAGAGACAGTGTTTTGAAAATGACATGTTCCCACCATAAACAGTTATTACTTGCTTGTACAAAATGCCGAATGTGTTTTGCTAATCTAAAATTTGCAACCAGTTTAACGTCCTCGCGGAGAGGTGAAGACTGGCATCCACTCCAGGAGCAAGTGATAGCTGAATGCTGCCAGGTTTTCTTGGGAGCGATACCTATTTTAATGTGTTTCCCTCCTTAAACTTCCTCATTTCCTTTTAAACTATTCACATGTTAAGTTTGCTGCAGCCTTATTTAGAAGAGGGAAGACCTGGAAATAATCTAAATGTCTAGTATTAGGGTGGTTAAAAAGTATCATGGCAGAGCCCTAAGTCATGTTGGAACGATAATGACAATGACAATGTCTTATCATGTTAGAACCCCCAAATCAGAAAACTCACTAGTTTTTCCCCACTACCTTCCCCAGTTTATAAAACAGAATGTGCATCGTGATTCTCATTCTTTAAATATAACTTAAAAAATTTTTTTTCTATACATACGCATGTGTTTGCTTGGTTTCCACGTATTGCCTTCACAAAATTAAAGAGGCTTAAAATTTAATAACAATGTTAAGAACTAGAAACAAAAACCTCGTGAAGAACGAAGGAAGGTAAATACATTCGGAAAAGAAATCAGATGGTTGCTACAATGAAATATTGAGCAATGATAATAATAATCATGCAAAAAAAGTAACATTCACATTGTCAGATAAAAGTATGCTATCATAGAGTGCTTTGACTCTGAGGTTCAGTATGGACCCCTCAGGTTCATTCTTTAAATACAGCTTTTTAAAATTTCTTGAATAAATATGGAAAAGCCTTTGACTTGGAGACATAATAAGGGAGAAAAGAAAAAAAATTATGTACACATTTTGAAATACAGGGTGAATGATGGCTTGTAGTTATTATAGAATATGGAATCCCTGAACTCAGATTGAATATAAATAGAAATCATTTGGTACTAAGAATAACCTTGTAAATAATTTGAAGAATTTTACTGATCTTAATAATGGCAAGTTTTAGGCAAACTTAGGATAATAAGAAGGTACAAAGTAGCCAGCTTCATTCTATGTAGGAAAATGCAGCCTGTGACTCTCCACAGGGTATCCATGAAGTTCACATGCTATTTAAAATATGTTGTTGTCTGTTATAAATTACACACGAACGATGGACACCTTGTACATATATCAGAAAAACAGAATCATCATTGATGCTGTGTGATCAAATCCAGGTAATCGGGGCATCCAGACTTCAAGATTTATCATTTCTTTGTGTTCGTAACATTTCAGTTCCATTCCTCTAATTATTTTAAAACATACGATACATTGTTGTTAACTGTCGTCCTCCTATTGTGCTACCAAACACTTGATCCAATTCAGCCTATCAGACGGTATTTTTGCATTCATTAGCTGTCATCTCTTTACCCTCCGCCTAGGACTCTTCCCAGCCTCTGCTAACCACCGTTCCTCTGTCCACCTTCATGGGTTCAGTTTGTTTTTGCTTCCACCTTCGAGGGAGAACACGCTATCCTTGTCTTTCTGTGTCTAGCTTATTTCACTGGACATAATGTCTTCCAGGTCTGTCTACGTTGTTGCAGATGACAGGATTTCATTGTTTTTCTGTGGCTGAAGAATACTTCCTCGTGTATGTGTAACACATTTTCTTTTTTTAAATTTTGAAATATGAGGATACAAACGTTTTCGGTTGCAGGTATCAATTTTGTTACAAGTGCGTCCATCACCCAGACAGTGTTCATTGAACCTGTCAGGTAGGTTTTCTTCCGTCCCCGTCTCCCACTATCCGCTGCTTGTTTGCCACTGAGTTTTATTTTCCTCTGCTCACATGTGTACTCATCACGTAGTTCCAGTTTGATAATGGGTACATGTGGTGTGTGTTTGTCATTCTTTAGACACTTCACTGAGGATAACAGTCTTGATTTCCGGTGGCTGAGTGTACTCCA